TACCGAGAAAGTATGGCGATCTCACCATTCTGATGCCGGTTTTATAAAAAATACTGTTTATTTGATTTGAGTAAATCTAGGACGTTTAGCCAATGGAGTTGGTTTAGGAAAAGTTGTGTTTCAATTGGAAAAGCAATTAACCTGAAAGGAACATTGTAATTTCCTTTTACAGGAAAACTAAAATTCGACTCAAACAGCGACTGGCGCTTGAAAAATATGAGACCCGAGGTTCATGTTGCCACAGTAGGATCTTCAGATACTGCATAAGTTTATTCATACAGAGTATAAGCGTATGAGGGAATAAAAACACGTGTGCAGTGTTTTAATGTATCTTGGTGCATGTGGATCTATCTATCTATATGTATACATATAAATGTACGCATATATGTGTATCTATATTTAGTATTATCCATTTCATATCTGTACATACAATAAAGAGATATATATACATGCATGTGTGTACTCTATACACATATACATTATATGTAAATATGTGCATTCTATGCCTACATTTTATATTATATATTACAATGTATCCATCAACCTGTATTAGTGTATGTATTTATACAGTGTATTTCCTAATTTACTTATTTTTTACACATGTTTCAGGGCTCTTTAAAGTACGGGCCACAGCCCAATAGCGGTCCACGAGTGAATGGACAGAGGGACGACGTTCTCATGTAAAAAGACGATTAAAGGCATAGACAATGAAATGTTAACAAATGTGTACTTGAAAATAAATCAGTTATGCTGTATTGTAATGGCTAAAATTGAATGACATTTATACCAGGTAGAGTGGTTTAAAATTGTCAATGAATAATCCTGACCAATAATTTAACCTGTTCATTGTTTCTTTTCTACTTGATTTCTACTTACTTATTCATCCGTTCAGTTTTATTCTAATCATCCACTAATTCCTTTCTTTCATCGTTTATTCTGCTGTTCAGTAATCTTTGTTGTACCTAAAGGAATGACATTTACTTTATATCAATTATGAAATTAATGTAAGTTCAGTACACAATGCACATTCCAGTAATATATATATACTTATACACATTCATACATACATACATAAATGTATACATGTGTGGGAATGTGTGTGCACGCGCGTGGACGTATGAATACAATACATATATATATATTAAATACATGTATACACATACATATATACACAAATTTTCACTTATCTGTATAACTTATATACATAAATATATGTGTATACATACACTTGTGAAGCGAAAATGTGTTATTCTCTATTTCTCTTAACCATATAAACAGTTCATTTTATCATGTGCTACGTATATCTATATCATTTTAGTACATATAGTACTTGCTCATATTTGTTTTTCGTGTCACCTCTTTAGTGACAAATTATCATTCCCCAGAAGCATTTTTTACCAGCAGGCTGTTCAAACAACTGTCGTTAAAAAGTTATATCTTTAATCTTAAACCAGAAATGCATAGTGTTATGTACACGGCAGTAATGTGTGTGTCAGATTGCAAAGGGGTTTGGGAAATATAGTTGTGTAAAAATATTAAACATATACAGTAAGCCATGTGTTCGCATATGTAAGTTGCCATTTTACGAGAAAAAAAAATGTATATACATATATATTATAAGTAGATAATATAGTATTAGATAGGCAGTCCTCTTTGCAGACTCAGGTTAGTTGGAGTTATTTTTTCATGAAATAAATGCTAAACTGCAACAATTCAAGTAATAATGTACTGTGTACATAATGGATTCCTAGAATATATTTATGCTGTTTTTACTGGATGAGATGATAGCTGCAATGCTTGACTCATTGCGGGTACCCGAAGGAGGGCCTCGGTTGGGCATACGCAGGAGCCTCTCGGGATTCCTCGGACTCTGGACACAATTCAGATAACCTTCCTTGTGGATTCATAATAGTTTCATTAGATAAACGCTAGATGATACATGAAGTTTTATTAAGAATATACATTGTGTATGATTCGTTTGCTGCTACAGATGATGTGGGTTAAATAAATTAGCGGCGATGCTTGGCTTATTGTGGGTACCCGTAGGAGGGCCTCGGTGGGGCGTATGCAGGAGCCTCTCGGGACTCCTCGGACTCCGGGAAATGAGCATCGCCCTCGTACGTCACGTCGGCTACGTATCCGCCGTCGCCGTCCACGTAGTACGTCACTTTCTGCAGGCGGCCGTCGGGAAGCTGTACCGTGTAAGAACCTCGAGTCTCATCCTCGTCACGGGACTCTCCGTGGGCAAAGTCCACGCCCGAGTATCCGTCCTTCACGCCATACTGGAACTCGTACTTCGGAGGAGCAAACTCCTCGCTTGAGTCTTCCTCCATAGACTGATCAAAGAGATTTTAGAAAACAATTGTAAATATTTGCTAATCTTGCCAAATTGGAATAAGAATGCAGTGCCATTTGAAGTGAAATATTCATACCAAAAACCCAGACTACCATACCTGGGGAGCGCCATAGGAGTAAGATGGCCTCTTGTCGGCAGAAGCGAACGCCACGAGAGCGAGGACGAGTAAGATCTGCAAAAGAAGACTCTATGAAAATTGATTTCGCATGAATTGCACATCTGAAAGATATGCATGAATATGACTGTATGTATGTATATGTAGATAATTAAAATATATACAGAATATATTGTTCATATGGATAGAGATGCAGATACAAGCGAGCGCGGAGACGGTTAAAATCTCTCTCGGCCTACCTTAGACGCCATCATTCAAGTTGTAATTGATGACCAGGTAAACGACGAACCCTATATATACGCCTCATCCATATAAGTTGCCAGACAATGAATTCCCGATTATTTTGGTAGCGACGTTTAGTACCAAAGTTCAAGGACTTAAAGAGGAGTATCTGTAACCATTAGTCGTCACCAATTGTGAAATCACCTTTCATTTACTACTGTGGCATTATTGTAAGCAGTACAGTTAAATCCAAACATTCTGTTACGCTCTGCTATTTTAGTTATGACTCTGATAAAGAATGTTGGTCTAAACATTCTGATCCCAGTAGAGTTAAAAGATACTATATTTATGTGAAATACATCTAGGACGTTTGACCAACGCATCTGAGTTGATTTAGGAAAGGTTGACTCAAACATCGACAGGTGCTTGAAAATTTACGAGACCCGTATATATGCGTATGTGCGAACACAAATACAGTAACGTGTTTTCATTTCAACGAATATGTGTGTACGTGACATTTGGTGGATGTTGATCAATATATATATGTATAAGTATATATATGTACGTATATATACGTTTATCTATTTATATATACATATATATGACTATTTTATGTGTAACTATATTTGCTATTATCGATTTCATACATGTTTGTATAGTAAACAGATATATACGTGCGTGTGTGTATACATATATAGTATATAGGTATGTATATATGTGAATTCTATAGTTGGTAATATATATTACATATATACATATATATTCAACATCTCTACATATTTCTATATATATATATGTATGCATATGTATATATACTTAAATATCCATACATGTACATATATATACAGGTAAAGAGAAACAGACAAACAGACACAAAGAGACAGAGAGTGCAGATATACACAAAGACACAGTACACATACGTAGCTTAGATGTATACATCAACATCTGTATTAGTGTCTGTGAATATATACACCATAAGCGTATTTACCCATATATTTATATGTCTGTTAATTACCTCCGGCCTCTGTAGAGTACGGGCCGCAACCTGGCGAGTGAATTGCCAGAAAGGCGCTGCGTCTCATGTGTATAGATGAATAACTATATAAACAAATAGATAAAAATGTGTTTGACAAGGAGTCAGTTATGCTCATCTATTACTGATTCATGACTCACTCATCTGTTCATTTCTATTCTAACCATCCGCTTATCCCTTTACTCCATCGTTTAAATGCTCTGCTGTTTAGTAATCTCCGTTGTACTTAACGAAATTATGTTACCTTTTTATATTACTGTAATGCTAATGCACATTCAAGTACACACACACACGCGCATATATATAGATAGATGTGTGTGTGTGTGAGAGAGAGGGAGACAAAGCGTATGTATGCATATATATAACCATACATTTATACACATATATACCTATATATTTTACATACACACATATGTATACTATATATATGTGTGTGTGTATGTGTGTGTACGCATAAATGTGTGCATACCACCACTGCTCATTTTATCATGTGCTACGTACACTTTGCCTTTATATATAATGTAATTGCAAGCATAATCATTTTTCGTATAACGCTTTCATTGACAAATAATCATTCCCCAAAAGCGTCTTCACCAACAGGCTGCTCACACAGCCGTCGTTAAAAAGTTTTCTTTGATTATAAGATAAATACACGGCACCAATATGTGCATCAGATTAGACTTTAAAAATACATTTGGTAAAAATAGTATCAAATACATATTAAAGATAGCACACTATGTATCCACATATATATTTAACTTATATGTATATAAGTTAAATATATACTTATACTTAAATGTATATAACGAATATACTTATATGTATATAACGAATATATATATATGTATTTCGTGAGTAGATAGTGAAGTATTACACAGTCCTCTTGACAGACTACTTTTTTATGAAATAAACGCTGAACTGCAATAGTTCAAGTTTTATTAAGATTACACTGTGTACATGGTGATATCAAATATAAATAACTCAAGCATATATTTGTTTGTTTTCTAGATGAGATTATATGGATTAAATACATGTCGACGCTTGACTCATTGCGGGTACCCGAAGGAGGGCCTCGGTGGGGCGTACGCAGGAGCCTCTCGGGATTCCTCGGACTCTGGACACAATTCAGATAACCTTCCTTGAGGATTTATAATAGTTTCATTAGATAAACGCTAGATGATGATACATGAAGTTTTATTAAGAATATACATTGTGTATGATTCGTTTGCTGCTACAGATGGTGTGGATTAAATAAATTAGCTGCGATGCTTGACTTATTGTGGGTACCCGTAGGAGGGCCTTGGTGGGGCGTACGCACGAGCCTCTCGGGATTCCTCGGACTCCGGGAACTGAGCCTCGCCCTCGTATGTCACGTCGGCTACGTATCCGTCGTCGCCATCCACATAGTACGTCACCTTCTGCAGGCGACCGTCGGGAAGCTGCACCGTGTAAGAGCCTCTAGTCTCATCCTCGTCTCGGAACTCTCCGTGGGCAAAGTCCACGCCCGAGTATCCGTCCTTCACGCCATACTGGAACTCGTACTTCGGAGGAGCAAACTCCTCGCTTGAGTCTTCCTCCATAGACTGATGAAGGATATTATAGATATTTGTAGTGATTTACTAATCTTGTCAAATCGGAATATGAATACAATGACATTCAAAATGAAATATTCATATAAAAAACAGGCTACCAACCTGAGGAACGCCATAGGAGAAAGATGGCCTCTTGTCGGCAGAAGCGAACGCCACGAGAGCGAGGACGAGTAAGATCTGCAAAAGAAGACTTTCTATGAAAACTGATTTCGCATGAATTACACATCTGAAAGATATGAATGAATATGACTATATGTATATGTAGATAATTAAAATATATACAGAATATACTATTCATATGGATAGAGATGTAGATACAAGCGAGCGCGGAGACGGTTAAAATCTCTTTCGACCTACCTTAGACGCCATCATTCAAGTTGTAATTGATGAACAGCTAAACGTCGAACCTTATATATACACCTCATCCATATAAGTTGCCAGACAATGAATTCCCGATTATTTGGTAGCGACGTTTAGTACCAAAGTTCAAGGACTTAAAGAGGAGTATCCGTAACCATCAGTCGTCACCAATTGGGAAATCACCTTTCATTTACTATTGGACCATTATTGTGAGCAGTACAATTAGATTCAAACATTCTATTGCGCTCTGCTATTTTGATTTGAGCACACTTTATTGTTTTATTTAGTAATGTCTCTGATAAAGAGTGGCGATCTAACCATTATGACCCCGGTAGAGTTAAAAAATACTGTAATTACTGTAAATTTACTGCTGTGGCATTATTGTAAGCAGTACATTAAATTCAAACATTCTGTTGCGCTCTGCTATTTCAGTTATGACTCTGATAAAGAATGTCGGTCTAACCATTCTGATCCCGGTAGAGTTAAAAGATACTGTATTTATATCGGATAAATCTAGGACGTTTAACGAACGGATCTGAGTTGATTTAGGAAAGGTTGACTCAAACATCGACTGGCGCTGTAATTGAGCGGTATATATGCGTATGCGCGAACACAAATACAGTAACGTCTTTTCATTTTAACGAATATGCGTGTACGTGACATTTGGTGAATGTTGATCAATCTATATATATATATATGTATTATAAGTATATATATGTACGTATATATACGTTTGTCTATTTATACATACGTATATGTGACTGTTTTCTGTGTAACTATATTTGGTATTATCCATTTCATAAATGTTTGTACAGTAAATAGATATATACGTGCGTGTGTGTATACATATATAGTATATAGGTACGTATATGTGTGAATTCTATATTTGGTGATATATATTACATATATACATATATAGTCAACATCTCTACATATATATATGCATATGTTTATATACTTAAATATCCATACATATACATATATATACAGAGGAAGAGAAAGAGAGAAAGAGACATCTGTATTAGTGTCTGTGTATATCTACACCATAAGTGTATTTCCTGATATATTAATATGTCTGTTAATTACCTCCGGCCTCTGTAGAGTACGGGCCGCAAACTGGCGAGTGAATGGCCAGAAGGACGACGAGTTTCATGTGTATAAATGAATAGCTATATAAACAACAAATAGATAAAAAATGTGTATTTGACAATGAGTCAGTTATGCTCATCTATTACTGATTCATGACTCATTTATCTGTTGATTTCTATTCTAACCATCCGCTTATCCCTTTACTCCATCGTCTAATTGCTCTGCTGTTTAAGAATCTCTGTTGCACTTACATTAGTGTAATGTCAATGCACATTCAAGTACACACGCACACGCATATATATAGATAGATGTGTGTGTGTGAGAGAGAGGGAGATGTATGTATGTATGTATATATGTATGCATATATATAAACATACATTTATGCACATATACATATATATACCTATATATATTTACATACACGCACATATGTATACTATATGTGTCTATATATGTGTGCATACGTATAAATGTGTGCATACCCCCACTGCATACCACCACTGCTCATTTTATCATGTGCTACGTACATTTTTGCCTTTTTAAATATATATGCAAGCATAATCATTTTTCGTATAACGTTTTCATTGACAAATAATCACTCCCCAAAAGCGTCTTTAGCAACAGGCTGCTCACACAGCCGTCGTTAAAGTTTTCTTTAATTATAAGACAAATACACGGCAGCAATATGTGCGTCAGATTAGACTTTAAAAATTACATTTGTAAAAATAGTATCAAATACATATTATAGAGAGCAAACTGTGTATTCGCATATACATATATTTAACCTGGCATTTTGCGAATATATATATATATATATTTCGTGAGTAGATAGTGAAGTATTACACAGTCCTCTTGACAGACTACTTTTTTATGAAATAAACGTTGAACTGCAATAGTTCAAGTTTTATTAAGATTACACTGTGTACATGATAATATCAAATATATATAACTCAAGCATATATTTGTTTGTTGGTTTTCTGGATGAGATCATATGGACTGAATACATGTCGACGCTTGACTCATTGCGGGTACCCGAAGGAGGGCCTCGGTGGGGTGTACGCAGGAGCCTCTCGGGATTCCTCGGACTCTGGACACAATTCACATAACCTTCCTTGTGGTTTCATAATAGTTTCATTAGATAAACGCTAGATGATGATACATGAAGTTTTATTAAGAATATACATTGTGTATGATTCGTTTGCTGTTACAGATGATGTGGGTTAAATAAATTAGCTGCGATGCTTGGCTTATTGTGGGTACCCGTAGGAGGGCCTCGGTGGGGCGTACGCAGGAGCCTCTCGGGATTCCTCGGACTCCGGGAAATGAGCCTCGCCCTCGTATGTCACGTCGGCTACGTATCCGTCGTCGCCGTCCACGTAGTATGTCACCTTCTGCAGGCGACCGTCGGGAAGCTGCACTGTGTAAGAACCTCGAGTCTCATCCTCGTCACGGGACTCTCCGTGGGCAAAGTCCACGCCCGAGTATCCGTCCTTCACGCCATACTGGAACTCGTACTTCGGAGGAGCAAACTCCTCGCTTGAGTCTTCCTCCATAGACTAATGAAAAAAAGAATAGAAAACATTTATTCTGATTTGTTAATATTGTCTAACTGGAATGCATTGACATTTAAAATGAAATGTCCATATCGAAAACCCAGACTACCATACCTGAGGAACGCCATAGGAGTAAGATGGCCTCTTGTCGGCAGAAACGAACGCCACGAGAGCGAGGACGAGTAAGATCTGCAAAAGATGACTATATGAAGATTGACTCTACATTCCTTACATTGCATGAATTGCACAGCTTCTATCTGAAAGTTAGATGTGAATTAATATGTGTATGTAAATAACTGAAGTGGATATAGAATATACTGTACATATGGATAGACATGGAGATACAAGAGCAGAGACGATTAAAATCTCTTTCGACCTACCTTAGACGCCATCATTCAAGTTGTAATTGAAGAACAGGTAAACAACGAACCCTATATATACCTCATCTATATGAGTTGCCAGACAATGGTTTCCCTATTTTTTGGTAGTATGGTTAAGTACCAAAGTTCAAGGACTTATAGAGGACTATCCAAGAGTCATAAATTACAATCCGTAAATAAGAAATCATATCTCATTTGCTATTGAAACTGATAAATAGTACAATTAAATTCAAACATTTTGCTGTGTGCTTTCGTTTTGGTTAATTACAATGATTTAGTTTCATCACACTTAATGGTTTGATTTACTTTAAATACCGAGAAAGAATGGCGATCTAACCATTCTCATGCCGGCAGTGTCAAAAATGTTGTATATCTAATTTAGGTTCATCTAAGACATTTAGCCAATGGAAAAGTGTTTCAATTGGGAAAGCAATTAACCTGAAAGGAACATTGTCCTTTCCATTTACAGGAAAACCGAAATTTGACTCAAACAGCGACTGGCGCTTGAAAAATACGAGACCCGAGATTCATGTTACCACAGTAGGATCTTCAGATACTTCATATGTTTATTCATGCAGAGTATATGCGTATGAGCACAAAACACAACGTGTGCAGTGTTTCAGTGTGTCTTGGTGCATGTGGATCTATCTATCTATATATTTATACATTTAAATGTACGTAAATATGTGTATCTATATTTAGTATTATTAATTTCATATATGTACGTACAGTAAAGAAATATATATACATGCATGTGTGTACTCCATACACATATACATTATATGTAAATATGTACATTCTATGCCTACATTTTATATAATATATTACAATGTATCCATCAACCTCTATTAGTGTATGTATATATACAGTGTATTTCCAAATATACTTATTTTTTACACATGTTTCAGGGCTCTTTAAAATACGGGCCACAGCCCAATAGCGGTCCACGAGTGAATGGCCAGAGGGACGACGTTCTCATGTAAAAAGACGATTAAAGGCATAGACAATAAAATGTTAACAAATGTGTACTTGAAAATAAATCAGTTAAGCTGTATTGTAATGGCTAAAATTGAATGTCATTTATGCCAGGTAGAGTGGTTTAAAGCTGTCAATGAATAATTTTGAGCAACAATTTAACCTGTTCATTGTTTCATTTTCTATTTATCCATCCGTTCATTTTTATTCTAGTCATCCACTTATTCCTTTATTTCCTTTAATTGTTCTGCAGTTCAGTAATCTTTGTTGTATCTAACGAAATGACATTAACTTTATGATATCAATTATGAAATTAATGTAAGTTCAGTACACAATGCACATCCCAGTAATGTATATATACATATACACATGCATACATACATACATACATATATGTATACATGTGTGCGAATGTGAATGTGTGTGTATGCACGCGCGCGGTCGTATGAACGCAATATATATACATATATTAAATACATGTACACATACATACATATATACACAGATTTTCACTTATCTGCATAACTATATATACATACATATTTGTGTATACATACACGTTTGAAGCGAAAAGGTGTTATTCTCTAATTCTTTTATCCATATAAACCGTTCATTTTATCATGTGCTACGTATATCTATACCATTTTAGTATATATTGTACATACTCATATTTGTTTTTCGTGTCACGCTTTTAGTGACGAAGTATCAATCCCCAAAAGCCTCTTTTACCAGCAGGCTGTTCACACAACCATCGTTAAAAAGTCTTTAGTCTTAAACCAGAAATGCATAGTGTTATACACACGGCAGCAATGTGTGCTCCAGATTGCAAATGGGTTTGGGAAATATAGATGTGTAAAAATATTAAATTTATATATACACTAAGCCATGTGTCCGCATACGTAAGTTGACACTTTACGAAAAATATGTACATACATGAGTAGATAATCAATTATTAGATAGGTAGTTCTCTTTGCAGACTCAGGTTAGTTGGAGTTTTCCATGAAATAAATGCTAAACTGCAACAATTCAAGTTTTATTAGTAATATACTGTGCACATGCATAAATATATACATTGAATATATTTATGCTGTTTTTACTGGATGGGATGATATGGATTAAATAAATTTGCTACAATGCTTGACTTATTGTGGGTACCCGTAGGAGGGCCTCGGTGGGGCGTACGCAGAAGCCTCTCGGGACTCCTCGGACTCCGGGAACTGAGCCTCGCCCTCGTACGTCACGTCGGCCACGTATCCGTCGTCGCCGTCCACGTAGTACGTCACCTTCTGCAGGCGGCCGTCGGGAAGCTGCACCGTGTAAGAGCCTCGGGTCTCATCCTCGTCACGGGACTCTCCGTGGGCAAAGTCCACGCCCGAGTATCCGTCCTTCACGCCATACTGGAACTCGTACTTCGGAGGAGCAGACTCCTCGCTTGAGTCTTCCTCCATAGACTGATCAAAGAGATTTTAGAAAATATTTGTAAATATTTGCTAATCTTGCCAAATTGGAATAAGAATGCAGTGCCATTTGAAGGGAAATATTCATACAAAAAAAAAAACAGACTACCATACCTGAGGAACGCCATAGGAGTAAGATGGCCTCTTATCGGCAGAAGCGAACGCCACGAGAGCGAGGACGAGTAAGATCTGCAAAAGAAGACTTTGTATGAAAAATGATTTCGCATGAATTACACATCCGTAAGATATGAATGAATATGACCGCATGTATGTATATGTAGATAATTAAAATATATACAGAATATACTGTTCATATGGAAAGACATGTAGATAAAAACGCGAAGACAATTAAAATCTCTCTCGGCCTACCTTAGACGCCATCATTTAAGTTGTAATTGATGACCAGGTAAACGACGAACCCTATATATACACCTCATCCATATAAGTTGCCAGACAATGAATTCCCGATTATTTGGTAGCGACGTTTAGTACCAAAGGTCAAGGACTTAAAGAGGAGTATCCGTAACCATTAGTCGTCACCAATTGTGAAATCACCTTTCATTTACTACTGTGGCATTATTGTAAGCAGTATAGTTAAATCCAAACATTCTGTTACGCTCTGCTATTTTAGTTATGACTCTGATAAAGAATGTCGGTCTAACCATTCTGATCCCGGCAGAGTTAAAAGATACTGTATTTATATCGGATAAATCTAGGATGTTTGACCAACGGATCTGAGTTGATTTTGGAAAGGTTGACTCAAACATCGACTAGCGCTGTAATTGAGCAGTATATATGCGTATGTGCGAACACAAATACTGTAACGTGAATGTTGATCAATCTATATATATGTATAAGTATATATATATGTATATATACGTTTATCTATTTATATATACGTATATGTGACTGTTTTATGTGTAACTATATTTGGTATTATCCATTTCATATATGTTTGTATAGTAACCAGATATACGTGCGTGTGTGTATACATATATAGTATATAGGTGTATGTGTGAATTCTATATCTGGTCATATATATTACATATATACATCCGCGTAGGGGCATTAATTAAAATTTAGGGGGGGGGGGGCTGCAAATTTTCTGCCCGAGTGAAAGAGGAAGAGAAATTTTACCTGCCAGAAAATTTGTGATGAATGCCACTAGTGGCGTAGATAGAGGGGGGGGGGGCTTTTCTGTGTTTTAAATACCCTTCTTAAAGTATCAATGTTACATTAATATAACTTTTTACCAATATTTTTTTCGCAAAATGGATAATTTCCAATTTCTATGCCCATTGGCCAAAATTGCCCGAATTCAACCAGCATTTACCCGACTGGGGAGGCTGCAGCCCCCCCAGCCCCCATGGCTCCTACGCCTATGCATATATACATATATATTCAACATCTCTACATATTTATATATATTTATATATATATATATATATATATATATATATGTGTGTGTGTGTGTGTGTGTGTGTATGCATATGTATATATACTTAAATATCCATACATATACATAGATATACAAAGAAAGAGAAAGAGACAAACAGACACAAAGAGACAGAAAGTGCAGATATACACAAAGAGACAGTACACATATGTAGCTTAAATGTATCCATCAACATCCGTATTAGTGTCTGTGCATATATGTGAATGGTCAGAAGGACGCCGTGTCTCATGTGTACAGATGAATAACTATATAAACAATAAATAGATAGGAAATGTGCATTTGACAATGAGTCAGTTATGCTCATCTATTACTGATTCATGACTCATTTATCTGTTGATTTTTATTCTAATCGTCCGTTTATCCCTTTATTCCATCATTTAAATGTTCTGCTGCTTAAGAATCTCCATTGTACTTAACGAAATTATGTTACCTTTTTTTCTATTAATGTAATACTAATGCACAGTCAAGTACACGCACACACACTCACGCATATAGATAGATGTGTGCGTGAGAGAGAGAGGGAGACAGACAGACTGAGAGAGGGTATGTATGCAAATATATAAACATACAGTTATACACATATACATTAATATATACAAATATATACTTACACACATATACATATACTATATATATATGTACATATATGTGTGTGTGTGTGTGTGCATACCCTCACTGCTTATTTTACCATGTGCTACGCACATGCTTTCCTTTTGATATATAATATAAATGCAGACATAACTAATTTTCTTCTACGTTTTAATTGACAAATAATCATTCCCCAAAAGCGTCTTTACCAACAGGCAGCTCACACAACCGTCGTTTAAAGGTTTGTCTTTAATTATAAGTCACAGATGCACAGTGTTGTTGATGGCAGGGCTGTGCGTCAGGTTGCACAGGACTTGAGAAAATATATTTTTGTAAAAATAATATCAAATACATATATAGAGTAACCTCTGTATTTGCATATATATTTAACTTGGCATTTTACGAGAAAAAAAAATCGTGAGTAGATAATGTATTACAGTCCTCTTTGCAGACTCAGGTTAGTTTTTTTTTCATGAATTAAATAGTAAACTGCAATAGTTGAAGTTTTATTAAGAGTATACTGTATACATGATGGATTCGTTATCGAATATATGAGACCCGTCACATCGAACCAGGTATTAAGTCGCACAGTGTACAATAAAGCTATGGCCAATACAGTGTAAATGTATGTAAAATTTTCGAGAGAGAACAAGCGAGAGAGAGAGAGAGAGAACACGCGAGAAAGAGAGAGAGAGAGAACACGCGAATAAGAGAGAGAGAGTACGCGAGAGAGACAGAGCACGTGAAAGAGAGAGCGCACGCGAGAGAGAGAAAGAGAGCACGCAAGAGAGAGAGAGCACGCGAGAGAGAGTTTGCTCGGACAAAAATGGTCATATCTATGATTTTGTTATCAAAATGGAGCTGGAAGAGTAAGGATTCTGAATATGTGTATATCTCAATATGCAAAAATTGCATTTAATCCCTGTTTCGATGTGATGGGTCACATATATAACTCAAGCATATACGTATATTGTTTTTCTACTGGATGAGATGATATGGATTAAATAAATTCATATCGACGCTTGACTCATTGTGGGTACCCGTACGCAGGAGCCTCTCGGGACTCCTCGGACTCCGGGAACTGAGCCTCGCCCGCGATGATGAACTAAAGGGGGAGGAGGAGGAGGATTCCTTAGGTTAAGGAGGGGAAGGGAAGCTATGGTAGCTAGCTACCTAGAAATTGAAAAAAAAGATAAGTAATAAAGCCCTCGTACGTCACGTCGGCTACGTATCTGTCGTCGCTGTCCACGTAGTACGTCACCTTCTGCAGGCGGCCGTCGGGAAGCTGCACCGTGTAAGAGCCTCGAGTCTCATCCTCGTCACGGGACTCTCCGTGGGCAAAGTCCACGCCCGAGTATCCGTCCTTCACGCCATACTGGAACTCGTACTTCGGAGGAGCAAACTCCTCGCTTGAGTCTTCCTCCATAGACTGAAAACGATTTTGTAATTGATCAGTAATTGCTATCTGACAGAATATGATGGAAATTTAGTACGGAATATTCATATCAAAACTCCAGACTAGCACACCTGAGGAACGTCGTAGGAGTAGAATGGCCTCTGGTCGGCTGAGGCGAACACCATGAGAGCGAGGACGAGTAAGATCTGCAAAAGATGACTTGCATTACATGACAAGAATTGCATGATATGAGTTTATGTGTAAGCATATGCAATTAACTGAATACATGAGGAATATAAGCATGAAGACGTAGATACAAACGCTGAGATGATTATAATGTTTCTCAGCTTACTTCATAAGCTGTAATTAATGGATAGATAAACCACGACTTCTATATACACGGCCCTACCTGTGTTGCCAGACAATGATTTCCCGCTATTCTTAGTAGTACGAAAGGTTATGTATTTCTCGAGACTTTAGCCAGAAACCGCCAATATTACTCGTCAGTTTTAATGCACTGCTTTATAATTACGAAAGGAAATGCTATACTTCGATTAAAGCCAATTAAAAATCTAAACTTATACAAATTGAAAGATGAAGAGGTAACATATATGTATTTTGTTTTGACGAGTAAATTCAGATGACAGGCTGAGGACAGGATTGGCTTAATTTGTGTAAGGATGCGTTCGGTTTGAGTGTTGACAATCCTCTTGTCTTTTGGCTGACGTTTTGAAAGTTGAGCGGCACAGAAACGGCTTCCACAGTGATGCGTGTGTGCACATATACACGCAGATGTGTGTGTGTGTGCGTGTGTGTGTGTGTGTGTACGTGTGTATGTGTGTCTGTGTGTGTGTATAAACACACACACATATACTTATTTATTTATCTATATATATATACATATACACATGTATATATATATACATGTGTATATATGTATACATATATGTACATACATATATATATACATACTGTCACATATACATAATATGAATGCATAACGCAAACTATGACTGTCATGGGAGTGACCATATATTCAAGTAACAAAAGTAAACTCCTGAGCGGTTAGTTAGTCCGACCTCCCAGGAAATTCATACTTGGACAATATGAACATGGTTGTTCTTGTGTGACAAGTTTAGTGTGTGCATGAGTGAAAGGATGGTTTCTTTGTTCTGTTCGTGTGTGTGTGTGTGTGTGTGAGAGTGTGAGTGTGTGTGCGTGTGTGTGTGTGTGTGTGTGTGTGTGAATATATATATATATGTGTGTGTGTGAATATATATATATATGTGTGTGTGTGTGTGAATATATATATATATATATATAAATGTGTGTGTGTGTGTGAATATATATATGTATATATATATATAAATGTGTGTGTGTGTGTGTGAATATATGTATGTATATGAGTGTGAATATATGTATGTAAATGTGTGTGTGTGTGAGAATATATGTATATAAATGTGTGTGTGTGTGAATATATGTATGTATATATGTGTATGTGAATATATGTATGTAAATGTGTGTGTATGTGAAAATATATGTATATACATTGATGTGAATATATATATGTATATATATATATATATATATATATATATATATATATATATATATATATATAAATGTGTGTGTGTGTGTGTGAATATATGTATGTATATGAGTGTGAATATATGTATGTAAATGTGTGTGTGTGTGTGAATATATGTATATAAATGTGTGTGTGTGCGTGAATATATGTATGTATATGTGTGTATGTGAATATATTTATGTAGTGTGTGTGTGTGTGAATATATGTATGTATATGAGTGTGAATATATGTATGTAAATGTGTGTGTGTGTGAGAATATATGTATATAAATGTGTGTGTGTGCGTGAATATATGTATGTATATGTGTGTATGTGAATATATTTATGTAAATGTGTGTGTATGTGAAAATATATGTATATACATATGTGTATCTGTGAATAAGTGTTTATGTATGTGTGCATATATGTATGTGTGTGTGTCCGTTCTCAATTACACCGACAGCCAATGAATCTGTTAAGTATTTTATCAACACTAAACTCTATATATTATTACGTACAAGATTATTTCACCTTTCTCCTGTACTCTTTCACCTGCATTATAAAGTGTAACAGGCCAGGGAAAAGGTCAGTCCTCGAAATGTTAAGTTGAATAACTCCCATTAATCAGCGACAACATATTAATGGAACCGTTATTTTGAGGAAATAATAAAAGACTTCTAGATCTTTGGATGATTTCATTTATAAAAAAATGTTCCATTTATTTGATTATTTACAAAGAAATACGAGAAACTTCAACAGACACGAGGTGACATAACATTTAACAAAGTAGGAAGTAAATGACTCTTGTATATTCATTAAATGAAGACAACATTGCATTAATATCCACACAAATGACTTAGAAAGGCCCTTCACACATCTTGCAACCGGCGCTGAACGAGTGCGTAGAAGCAAGCAGAAGTACTTGCATAAAAAACACAACAACACATAAGTGAAAGCATAATTTCTTTTTCCTTCTGCTTTTAACATGTCTGACCTCCTGCGTCCGTCTCCTAGAACAGGTTTGGTCAAGGAGCTCGGCGAGACGGGCCGCGTGTGCCTTCCGTGCTTTCTGTGCTTGAAATCGCATTAATGATGCCCTCAGAATGTCGAGGATGCCCCGAGGCTTGTGTCGCGTGATCCTCGTCGCCAGTCACTGCCCTCCATCGCCGTGTCTCCGGGGCAGTTGCCTTTGAATTGCTTTTGAAATAACCATCAGTTAGATGGCTTTGTTAGGCTCAAGTGTGGAGATTTCTTTGTAACGGAAATCAGCGCTGGCTACATCTAAAAAAATATATATGCTTTCCACATAATTCATTATAGTTTACCTCACTAACATTACGTTTTGAAGACTTTGATTTAAAAAAAACATCATTGCCTCATCCTGTTCTTCCCTTCCTTTCATTCACAATTACAACACTCGCTGCTTCCACGCATTCTGAAACCGGCTTCGGTCCTTTCATTCGAACAAAATCTTGCACACATTCGTTGCCCTTATTTCTTCATTATCTTTCATCGTGGATTATCACAGACTAATTCTACTCTACTCTGTGCACGTTATCACAGGCTAAGACTATTCTAATTCAGATGTACTATCACTGATTGAACTACTGTGCATGAGTGAATGTAGGCCGGCTAAATGATCAAGTATTCATAACTGGAAAGATTTCCTGAATCAGAACCTGAAATATAAACTTGAAATACTGGTTATGATCGGGAAATAAAAGGTGTAAAGTGGCGGTACTTCAGAAGTAAATGGATTACGTGTTAAGTTTTTTAAATTGCTTGGATGGCGCGCGTGTGTGTGTACGGGTATACGCTAATCTTACTCCATGTTACACTCTATAATGGGGTATAATTATCGCCGTCATCTTATCGCCTGACAACATAATTGCTGCATTTGGCTCATTAAGCCTAATTACCTTTACTAGCGTCCCGAGAGCTAGTAACTGAGGGCACACGAGGTTCTAAAAAGCCGTGGAATAAACCGACTGACCCTCTCACGTCCTTCCAAAGGCTTTCCCCGGGACAAGGAGGAAAATAGCATCTGCAGCACTTAAATTCCCAGGTATAGAATTAAGGGGGAAATCCAGCGTGTAACAAGGGACCCCCACGAGTTGTGAGGGCCCCTAGCACAATCAAGGACAACGTTATATTTTATTAATCTCGGGTTCAATTTCGTACGAAACCTCCGCTATGTATCCAAGTTCGGTGTCGTAGTAATAAGTGACGGTCTGGATGCGTCGGTCGGGAAGCTGCACGACGTACGACCCTCTGGAAGGCTCATTTATCCGCTCAGCTGAGGCTTCTTCGCGTGGGTCCTCCTGGTTGACGTCACCCGAAACAAGGTCGTACCGAACCGACCAGTCGTAGTCGAACTTCTCGTACGGGTTCACGTCGAAGTAGTCTTCTAGCGATTCCTGTAAATGGAAATTATTCAATCATTCACCCTTGTGTATAGTGCATTGTGTCTTCTAAAAACATATACGAGCTAAAGACACATGTCCTGCACTGTGCGACGTCGTACCGACCTGCGAGATGTCGTAGTTATCACGATATGGCTCCACGTAGATCAGACTGCCCGCCAAGCACAGCAGCAAGACCAGCTGTCCGTGTAAATAACACTTAACACACACCGCAATAATTGCCTCTTTGTCACTACATCACCAGAATTATGGACACGTATTAGCATATATGAAACAGGAGTAATTGATACCTACTTACTGTTCTATTCATGGTCGAGCCGAGGAAAGTGACTTGCGGGCCGCGACGTCTGCTTATATACGTGGTCAACGCCGATCCGAGACTCATTGTACAACAGGTTTTCTGGTCGGCAAAAATAGCTGCAGGTTCATGTCATGGCATGAAGTCCAGACGAGGGCGTGCTGGATGTGTTCTTTTGGGCATTACCACCTGCGGAACAAATCTCATATTTTAAGTTTACGGCCTTTTGTTTCTCGGATTCCCCGGGAGGAAAAGCGCGCGGGCATTGTCATCGACCCTTTCCGTAGCCAGATATGCGCGTGGGTATTGTGCCTCGCCCGGTGTGATGCGCGGGGCACTGTAGCGAGGTGAGACCGAGCTGCATAATGGCTCAGAATAATGGCCAGTCGGCCCGAACATTCACCGGTCAGCCGCTCGGCCTCTCACTCTCTCCGGGTTGTGTAGTAGTGAAAGTGGGATGCGGTGTAGCGGCGGCGGCGGCGTGTAAGGATGAATGAAAGTTGTGTGCAGCCTGGAGGTGTGAGGGTACGTGTAAATAGGAAGATGAAGAACACTGGATAACTAAGATAGAGAAGTAGAAAAAAATAAATAAGGTAAATAGTCAATGGACTGATTAATCAATACTGAATACCTGTCTAGGATGATTGTAAAAAAATAGATTAGAGGATGTAACAAGTAAGGATAAACAAAACTAATTAATAGGGAAGGAAACATACAATGAAAAGTAAATCTATAGCAGCGACCACAAGTGCCCTGCATGCGTGATGATAAACCTTATCCCTGCAGATGTTAATTTATGAGTAAGTTTCCTATGAAGATGCTCGCGAACCGTTGCAGATTTACTGAGTGCAGATTTAACCGCGGATGTCGCAATTCATTGACGTAATAAAATATAAAGTGTGAGAATAGAGAAAAGGAATAGAAATGTGCGAGGATTATAAGTGTAGTAAAAGTAAAA